GATTGGGCATGTTTCTTCGCCTTCATTCTCAATGAGTTATTCATCTCTGAGCTAACCAAGCTCATAAGTTTAAAATTCAAAGCTAGATCAATCTAGATAGTTCAGAATGCTGTTGTTACTGAAGGTAAATCCATTCCAAAATTATTATGCTTAACAAGTAAAAGTGAATAAGAAGGAAGATAAAGTTAGTTGTATTTTAAAATGATTTGAAAGTCACTGACGTACTTTAATATATTCTATTCTTATTTCTGCTTCATGCTTGGTACGAGAATATCAAAATTCCCGGATAATTCGAGGTTTCTTTAGGTAAAATAAAATTCCCAGAGAGTTGCCGCTTTTTCAGGTTTTTCAAGGTATAGACACCCTACTTGAGTCCCCACAATGGATGTTTTTGATGATGGCGAAGGAATTCCACTTGCTGATATCTCAGACCTTGTTTCTCTGAAAACTCTGCCTTCTTCTGAGTAGTATACTCTAAATATTTTATACAACAATTAACGTTTTCCAAACAATATTTTGCCAAAACAAATACTGAGGATCGTAGATCGGTAGTGATATGTTTAACAGAAAATGGTCAGTTTTTTGTTTTGTTTTGGGGTGGCTTTGATAATACTCGATGAACAAGCGTGAATCTCAATCAATTTAGTTTCAGAAATATGAAGCTTTGAATAAGTATATAATCAGAAACATCACAAGCAATTAAAAGACAGCAATGAATTTGTGATGGATAAATCGGAAATTTGAAAAAAAAATTCAGATATTTGTAAATTATGTCAAACATATTATTCAAAAACTCTATACGATATCAGAGGTAAAACCCTAAGCTACGTATTTTCAATTGGGAAATAATGCAGAGTTAATTTAACTGTTATATTCTACTATCAAATATACCTCGTTTTACGGTACTCCTACACTGTCCCCTTTTCCCTTTGCGCCTCTTATCCCACCTACACCCCCTCATAAGCACCTTCATCAACCTTTCCCCCTGGTCCACTCGCCATTACCTGTCCATGCTGTCAAATTAACGCCTGAATCTTAAGCTACTGTACAATGGGCATTTTTCAGTGAACACATTAAAAAGAAAATATATGAAAAAATAGATTTGGGTAGGTTTTCAGATGCAAACTCAACTAGTCATATAGTTTTGAAACGGAAAACCCCCAGAGAATCGCATGGAAGAGGTTTGATTTTGGTAAAAGACAGAAAAGTTGGATTTCAGTGCGGTTTGTCCCTGAAGTTCCTTATTTTATCATTAAATGGTTGAAGAATTTTAAGTCCTTTTTTTTAGTTTCAAATAAAACTGGTTTAGTAAAAATCGATTCGAGTCGAGAGAGTCGAGTATTAGTACAAGACACTGAAGAAGTCCGCACATTGTAGACGAAATACGTGTATCTGTCAAGGATAAGCAAATAAAGTAGTGGAATTAAATGGAAAATACTAATCCTTCTATCTCTCATTAAAAATCTATTGACATTTCACATAGCATCCCTATTTTGCCCCAATTTACCCGGAAATTATTTGTACCGTAAGCAACCACCTAGACACAGACAAACAGACGTAACTCTTTGAAAAACTTGTTCTTGAAAACATAGTATCTCAAAACATATAACCTCAGTAACGACATCTCTCTGGCTTCTCGCGGAAAACAAGCTTGCTCGCTAACTCGTAAACAATATTGCATAAAAGTTCTATAGAATATATAGAAACGTCAAAGTGATCCGATGCCAGCGCTGCGGCGAGTAGTTCGCGGAACTGATAATATTCAAATCAACCGTTAAATGCATGAACGAAGATACACAATGAAGAGTTACGTCTGTTTGTCTGTGACCTAGGCATTCAATTTCTCATCAAAAAAGCTATATTTTGATGTAAAAATATAGCATCACATCTAGAGTCATTCTGAGATAAAAAAAATTAAATGTCTTCTTTAAAAAAAATCTCATTGTGTACTAAGTCAGATTCATAAGAGCTATGAAGTTAACTGACAAGATCTTTCGAAAAACCTTCAAAGCTCTTTGTTAAGTTTGGAAAAGTTCGCGAAAACTCACTATGACTCGTGAAATATCGCGAACTTTTCCAACACTGGTTAAGTTATTTCGTCACGCTTTCGATGTAGGTAGTCAGGAGGATGAAGTTTACGCTAAGGCTTCGAAAATTGACCTATAAGTTCTCTTCCCCTGAGGACTTTATTCATCATAAGACTTCAAATATTACCACATAATGCCTCTAGAACCTTGGAAAAAAAACTGTAAAATGGCTAGTATTGACGCGAAAGGTTATTGATATCTACCAATAGGGCCTTTTGAATTAATTGTGACTAATAACTGGAACAAAGGATTATACCAAATTGATAACAAGTTCTGATACTCGGTTATCAAGATTTGATAACTGAACATGATATCATTGTAGTTGAATAAACAGCCAACATAACACAAATTTTATCAAAATAATACTCCTTTGCTTTCACAAAAATAACTGATTCAGTTATCATTGAAAACATCTTGATAACAAATTCTGTGACCCATGCAATTTTTTTCAACAAATAATTTTATCGATTTGGCATTAAAGGTTTACGCTGATAACTGGCGTATGATTGGCAGTGTTTTTTTTTTTTTCTTGTCATGTGGATAATATTTGAAGCTTTGATCAAATTTTGCATAATTTAATATTCTTTCATGATAACAAAATTAGTCAAGGTCGATAACTAAATTTTTTATGCGATAACAACTGAAAACAAAATGATATCTGGAATAACAAGACTGGTTTTCAAAATGTTCTCAGGTTGTTATTCTACTTTGCTTGGGAAACTTGCACCTAGTTCATTTACCCCATGCAAATGTCGTAAAATTCGTTGAATTTCGTGAAATTTGAAGAAAAAAAATGTGAAAAATGCCTGCTTAGTCCTAAGCTTTAAATCATGATTTACGGACAGGTAATCAGCTTGATTCCATATTTTTCGAGTTTTGAGATATTTTAAATCTATAACAAAGTATGAACTTTTGCCCCACCTTAATCTACATGCATTCAAGGTGTATGATAAGTTTTTTTTTCAGTACTCTGTGACTCGATTGATGCAATTATTATTAACTTTGAACACCTTCAATTAAACTGGTAAAATAATTCTAGAAGAGCAATTCTAGAAATCTTTAAGAAAACGCTTGCTGTAACAGTATGTTATGGATTGTCTCGCTACAATCCGCAACAGTGTCTTTTTTTCTCATTTACCTTCACACGCACTGACTAGCACTTCTACCCAATGTAAATAAATTGCGTTTGTTTTGAAAATCCTTGCTGTCGACGTGCGAGTGAAATGAACAAATGAGCTCATTATCCATCGACGAATACGCGTTTGTTGACATTCATCAACGCTTGAGTTTCCAACCCAAAATTGTCAAAATCGGAAATGATCCTCAAGCAAAAAAAAAAATCAGACTCATAAAAAAGGCAATAATCTTCCATCGACCTGAGTGTGAACATCAACAAATTTATGTAAAATTATTATATTCGTGTAAAATGAACATAATCATTTTGTATCCTCATCAAGATGATTATCAATATTGATATGTCAACAGCACAGGCAATAATGAACACGCATCTTTAAATGAACAAAAACAAATATTGACTTCGAAACGCAGCGTTGGTTTATCTTTTAAGGTTGCCTTTATTTTTAGCTAATTTGAGTGTGTCAGAAATGATTTTTATCAGCACTGATCCGCAATAAGAAAAACTGATAATTGTGAAAATAATATTACAATTTAAAATGATCACGATGATAATACAGTCATAGGAATTCGCATAAAAATCTTGAATTCTAGTGTAAAAATACATACAACATTGGTAAGAGAGTCCTATTAAAAATTTCCTTCCTATCGAGTTAAAAAAAACTCATAAGAATGCATGCATTTGCATCCCAGGTAGGTGTGTTATTGACACACGCTCAACACAAAATTAGACCAATCGTAAACGCGCAGCACTCCTCATTACCAGACTGAGCACTGAACTTTGCCATCATCATCAGAACCAGTTTGTACGTGGCCCGTTTTCGCCTCAACAATTCCACGTCATTCCCATCGGTCCCTCGTGTACCGCACCTATCCCGCCACGGCCAAACATAAGGGAGAGGGGTGGGACAATTACGTTTGTTCGATTGCCTTCGTCGCTCGGATTCGTTCATTTTGCACGCAAATAACTTTCCTGTATATTTATAAATTTAAACTACACAACACCGATCGAGTTGGGGACACCGCTGCGACTCTGGTATCAGAAAGCACTTTGTGTTTTATTCGTTTTCTCCGCGTTACCGGCTAACTGTTTCATGGCGCGAGAGACAGTTGATATTTATACAGTTGAAAGTGAAGTGCCTAAACTTCCTACCAAGGGGAATGTCCTTTTGTGAAACAAAGTTACTTCGATTGAGCTATATTTAAAACATTGACCAGCCCACGTTCACCGTCGAACAATGTGTTGATATCGATTTTTAACCCCATCCCACCGCCACCCCTCTCGACGTGCTCGCTTTCGATGCTATCAGCTTATGTTGTTACTGTGCTCTTTCTAGGTTATGTCTCGGTCACTTTTACTTCACTCCGTACAGGATAACGGACGATGCTTTCTCCAAGGAATGGGAACCGAAAAATGTGCAACGAAAGCTAATTACGTAACCTTCACTTTTGGGCCTTCGATGGGCCCGTACCCCGTAATTGAATTAAAGTAGTGTGTCGTACTGTGTTGTTATTTAGACGATTTGTACCATTCTTCAAATGATGTTGCATAGTCTCAATGGAAACACCTATTCCCTGTCCTTCGCTCAAGTCGTAGTTGACACCTGGATTGTTATCCTGTCAAAGCTGGAAGCAGAATCTCGCTCCGAATGCTCCACACAGTTCACCAACACATTCTAACACATACACCACACCAGCAGTCAGTGGCATGAACGGGAAGCAGCCTGAATGTATACCACAGTCGCAGCACCAAAGAAAATCGATATTCTTCCTCCTTACATAAAATTCACTTTTTCTTAGTGAGATCACGGCTCTATCAGCATGATCTCTACGCCGGCGATCACCGAGCAAACAATTCCAACAGCAGCTGCTGTCAACGAACGAAATCCGTCACTTTTAACACATTTCCAGCGCAGAGGAAAATTTCTTTCACGAGGGTCACCTACTCAACGTATGATTGCAGCAGTGAGTATAACAGTTATCCCCCAGACACCTTCAGAATGAGATCTGCCGCCGATACAACGAGTCGCTCTCCTGCTTCAGAGCAAGACCGATGATGACACATGGAACCTTCAAAAGTGCATCGCCTGATTCCTCTCGCTCTCTAGTTGCACAGCACGCACACGCCTCCGAATTCCCAACGCCGGTAGAGAGAATTTGGCAGACAACTGTCAAAAATGCCGCATGATATCGAAGATGTGATTCCACGAGTCACCCGAGTACAGTTGGATAACTCCCAATACCGACCACACCGCACTGCCTAGAAGATCACCGTACACTGAATGAAGAAGATCCCCCTTCCCGGCGGTGGCCTACATGGTACCCACTAGTGCCTGATAGTGTGGTAATAGTGGGCACTACCATAAAGCAACATCACGTAAAGGTGGTTGTACAACGAGCAAATGAATGATAATTGCCTACGGAGTGGTTAGATACACATCGTGTACGAGCGCGCAATGTAAGACTTCTTCTGAGGTTTTTTTTCTTTGATTTTGTTCAAGAAATCCTCCACCGCTGCCCCGTTGGCGGAGAGTTTCTTCGGCTCTGCTGAATGAGACATGGAAACGTAACAGAAAACTGCTTCTGCTAATCTCCGCAGTCAGCAAGACGACCAAACGATCGGACGAATAGTGAGTACAGGGAGGTACCACTGTTGGCGGATGGTGTTTTAGTTCGTTTTCTCCGATTCCTAATTGCCTGGTAGGAAGAATACTGACCACAAATGGAATACCGACGAAAACTCCATCCGCAAACAACGGTACCTCTCTGTATAAACACGAGCTGGATGACGGTGAGATACTTGCGAAAGGTGTTGTTGGGAGCGGGAAGATGGGGTTTCTACCTCGGGAGCGCGATGACTAGCATATGGTTACCTGCGGCAGGGTTGCCGGTTATACAGTTTGGTAATGTGGAGAGAATTGTGCCCAATGTGTTAATTGGCGAAATCTCGAAATAGTACAGTTACAACTTGAGCGTGTCTGAATTAAGTTACATTACCATTATGTGATAGGTGTTCTTCTTCTTATTATTATTCTTCTTCTTGCTACATGTTACGGCGAAAGAGCGCTAGATTGTTTCATGTATAGAATGAACGGGTTTTGGTACATTGATGACCCAATGTTATCAGCCCCTTCGCGCATCAGACTTATATCTTTAAATGTTTTTTTTTTTTATTTTATTATCAGCAGGTTTGAGCCGAAGAGTCTCGGAATGTTATTAAATTTTGCCTACAAGTAGAGTTCATAAATATATATATATTGAAGTACTTTGAAAATTACTACTAACGACTAACATACCTTTCCTATCCCTACCAGTTGTAAGGACGTGGCCAGGACAATCCTTAACTGTTGGAGCGGGAGGTTTCTTTATTTGGGAGATAGTATTTATTTCCTACTTACTATCTGTCCAGTTACAGAAATCCGTCTTGCTCTTAATAGTTTTGAATTCGTACCACCTACGATATTGTGCAACTTGTTCGATGCTAATGCTAATGCTAATGCTAATTGTAGTACTTTGAAAATTTATAAATAATTCATGAAACAAGCATCGAAGAAAGAATGGTTTGTTGTAAAATGGTAAGGAAATCATCTCAACAGTCCATACAAATATAATTTTAAAAATGTTTTCCACGAAAATTTGTTTGCTGTGGATTTTAGCTTACATTTTTAATGGGATGTAAGCAAATATGATGGCTTGTTGATTACTATCTGAAATGTGTATAAATAATACTGATGAAATAATAATAAATATATTGCTAAAACGGCATGTCTGATTGGTGCCTTAAGGAATGTTTTACAAAATTATGATGAGATTCTTGGAAAAAATTATACACTGTTAAAAAAATGTGTTATAAATCAAAATGTGAAAAACGCGGTATTTAAAAAAACGTAATTTTTTGTTATTATTTTACGCTGATCAAATTTTTCCATTTGGTACCAAAAACCAATGCTGCCAAAAAATAAAATTATTAAAAATTTAACTTCATGAGAATTTTTTATAATTGATCTCATTTTTTCATCGCAACAAACTAACAAAAATGGTGTACAGAAAATATATCTTCCATTTTCACACTGGTAGGGTTACAGGATGTAATGCCTAGCCTCTCACTTCGGTCTATCAAGCAAGTAAATCATTAATTCTGCAATAATACACAATAGTAATGAAAAACTAATATCACATCTGCTACGAAATTGTATTCCGTAAAAGAATTACATATTTTTCGGACAAATTTTGTACATTTATTGCTCTGTTTTGAAGAAAAGGTTTACTAATATTTTCATATTTTTTTGATTTCTACGGCCATGATCGTGCCGTATTATTGCACTACATGGATTAAATGGACTTGCCTTTTTGTGACATGCTAGCGTAATAAATAAATATCACAGTTTTCACTGTAATTGTTCATTATGGTGAATCGCTGTGACATCTTTATTCTCGGAACCAAATATCAGCTTCTACGACACGTGCAATATCCAAATTGTTACTCCACGTTTGATGCACTGCAGCATACATGAAGTAGCAATTTCAAGTGAAATGGGGCACCAATTTCCGAGATTTGTGTAATTGAAAATTCGAAGTGGAAGTGCATGTATAGCCGAAGTGACGGCCATTTGTGACTCTATAAGAAATCACCTTAAGAAGATTTAACGCAATTTGTGCATTATAATTATGGGCCAAACATTAGGGACGTCATTTTGAGACGTGTTCTTAATAAAGCCCTACGAACTTTATTTGATAACTTTGCATTGGTATTGGTAAAACCATTCACGTTCTGCAACTTCTTAAGGCTGGCGCACAATGTATAAGTTTCCAGGTTTTTTTGACAGATTTATGTACTTTGACTATATATGTTTAGTATTACTTCTGCGTGAAGTCAACGATTTACATAGTTGAAGATGCTAATTTCAAATAACAGACTAAAGTGGTAATTTTTATACGATAGCTGAGGAGGAGATGAAAGTATTGAATTGATCCTATCTATCGTATAAAAATTACCACTTTAGTCTGTTATTTGAAACTATGTAAATCATTGACGTCACGCAGAAGTAATACTAAACATATATAGTCAAAGTACATAACTCTGGATGGGAGCATACCATCAATTAATGTCGTGTCTCCTCGAGATCATAAAGTCGACGATCACAGGAGCACATACCGTGGTAGGGGTAACAATAGCTGCAATTTCCAAACCTACAACTGGATGCCTTCTTTCAAATAACAACTGGAGTGCGGTAAAAAATCGGTAAAACTGTTTCAAACACATCGTTGGTACTTGAGCGGTCGGCAATCATCTCTTTTTGCCAGTGGTGGCGGGGGGAGGGGGCAAAACCCTTCACCATCCGTCTCGAAAGAGGGAGTTTTGTAAAGAGAGATAATAAAACCGATTTTTACCTTCCTTAAAAGTTCTCCTACCTAGCTGTCTACTCATATCGGTCAAAAGTAGAACTACCCAAAATTGACTAAACAAAGTTGGGACTTGTAAGATGACAAATGGGCAACATCGGCCGGAATTCGGCCGATGTTTCTTGTCAGTTCCAACTTTGTTCACTCAATTTTGGGTAGCCCTACTTTCTACGGATATGAGTAGATCGTACTCAAATTTGGTATGTTTAGAAATAGCTTAACATTTACTCATATATGAGTGACATACAGTATATCTCAAAATTGAGCGTACACCTGAATGGCAATTTTTTGAAAGACTGTGAGTGGATAGATTTTTGAAATCTTGGCTAGTGGCTGAACAACTATTTATTGATTTATCAGTATGGCTTTGGACTTTATTGGCAGTCTCTGTACGAAGTTTAAGTAAATTCAGTAAAACGGTCGATTTTCAACTTTTTTTTCATAGTAGGTGGACTTTAGTAAAATTAGCAGCATTTTAAAGATCTTTATTATGACTACAGATCAGCAAAATTTCAATATGTTTGGCTCATTGAATTTCAAGAAAATGTGTTTTTAAAAGAAATCTAGTTTTTCTAAACTAGTTTTAACTTCTTACTCACTCAAATAAGCTCAATACTATACCGTTAACCAATAAATGGTGCAAGAGCCAGCGGCTAAAAATATAGATATCTATGTTTTTAGGTTGTGCTCGTACAGCTGAAATGTACGGACAGCTGTACGCTCAATTTTGAGATACACTGTATCTCAAATTTGAGTGAACGGAATTCAAATATGCGTCAGATTCATTTGATCCAACAGATCCTTAAAAAAACTATCAAGCTGAACAATGGGCCCTAAGTAACACTGAACGTTAATAACTTGGCTACAAAACAAAGCTTCTTTTATCGAACCATGTGTTGAACATAGCTTGAAGTGTCTACATGGCCGTTGGAATGCAAAGAGAAAATCTACAAAGAGAATCTGTAAATGTTACTAAGGAGCTAATGCATTGTTCGGCTTGCTATCATTTGACTTGACAGCTCGTTATAGGTGTGGTAGTGAGATGATCTATTTGACTTTTATTTTAATTCTAAACGCATCGTAGTTTATGTTACCTGGATAAACCGGAAAGAAAACACTGTCTCTATCTTTCTTATCAGTTCTTACGCGAGAAGTGAAAGTGACGTCAACAATGTGGTTACGTTTGAAAGATAAGGAGTGAAAAAGAACCGCGATTTCACATGCCGAGGTTCATCTTCGATAGGACGAAGTTGCATCCATCTATAGACCCAATTTAAATACATTAGACCGACAATACTTCCACGTACCTGGACAGTTTTCATGTTAAAATCATGAGTTTTTCAATTTAAAGTCGTTCCTAATTAATATCCAAATATTAATAATAATATCTATACTTGCATGTTGACAGTGAAATATCGACTGCAGCTCAATTATTATATAAGATACCGTATAAAATGTAATTGAAGGCTTCATATTGGGGTTAGGAAAATATACCCTAGTTGCTAATTTGTGTTCATACCGTAGAACTTCGATACCGATTTTCCCAGAAAGATT